ACACATTTCATTCAACCGATTCTTTTAAAAACAATGAATGCAACAAATTCTGCTTTGACTTCGCTTAGAAGTATTTTGTTGGCCGAGCAAAATATACAAAATAACCTGCAATGCTGTATCTAAAAAGTTAGTCAGTATTAATTCATCACATATTGCAGACATTATAATATAATATAATATAAAATCACAGCTATCCTCTCTTTTCTTTTCTTCTCTTCGCCTTTTGCTTAAATATACACAACCCAACAACTACCATGACCACAACTGTCAATCAAACATAGTAAGGAATTGCCTTTGTGATCAAAAGCAGAACATGAATCAGATCTCTCACCTTTGTTCTTTCCAGACTCGTGCACTCTCAAAGTAGAACTTTGGTATACCGCTGGAATCATATGTTCTAGATGAAGGTTCGGCAGAAACTCCAGCTTTTGCTCCTTTCCTCCTGTTGAGGGTATCTCTAAGCAGGCCAGTGAGACACTGACTGACCCTTTCTTTGATAGGTGATAGCAGAAGACCTAACTCCCCTTGATTCTTCAGTGCATCCTGGAGCTTGCTGAGCTGTAGACACTTGTTCCTCAAAGTGTCAGAGATCTCTGAGATGGTCTGTCTCTGCTGGGCCAGCTGCTCCTCTACATGTTTGATCTGAAGCTCTTTGGTATTCAAGTCTTCATCCTTCTTCTTTAGTTGATTCTCCAATTCTTCCACTCTAACTCTGAGAACTTGAGAAACCGAGCTTGATTCTCCATTGTTTTTAGATTTGGCGGAGCCACTGACCTGCTTAAGAGGGTTCAGCTTCATCGATCCATTTCCCATTTTGGCACTTTTATTCTACAATAAAAGATGATCAAGTTCAATTTGCTGTGGAATGGCATCACACAATACAATTAAAATGATTCTAGTCTAATATGATTAACAATTATAAAATATTTAATATTTTAGTCTTAACCTTTATTTTTCTTTTGATGCCAATTTAATGGCTTGAAAAATGTATTTAACATTGACATACCAGGCTGATACTTTTCCTAATCTTATAAGAAGTGATTATAAACAAAATTAGAACTTACTTATTATTGCTTAACTTATATTACTTATGTCCCATATATAAAACAATAGGTCTATATCATTGCAATAAAATCCAATAATTGTTTGTATTTTTGAAGTGATCTACTTTAGTAATAGATTTAGTAATCTTTGCCTACTGTGTTTTCATTAGGTCAAGTGAATTTAGTAAAACATTTGAGTTCTTTTCACACACACACACACACACACACACACACACACACAGGCTACATATAGGTTACTGGCAGCATGTGTCATCTCTCCACAATAACTACACTCAGTCCCTTTAGCAGTCTTCATGCCAGCAGGATATTTTATTGATCTCTCTCTCTCAGTTTTATGTCATCACTTGATTATTCATTTATTTGTTGATGTTTTCTCCTGCTGAGATGTTGTTGTTTTAAATGTCACGTTTTAAATATTTAAATTTTGTGTATTAATTACAATATCTGTTTTTTTTTAAACAAAACAAACCTATACTTTACTATATACTGAAGTAAAACGTGTACACACAAACTAATCCCGAAACTGTTTAGAACAGACTAGACTCTATTCCATCATTGACACCGAAATCCTATGGAGTTTACGGACCGTTTCTATGTACATTCATGTGCTTTCACTCTCTCTCTTTCATAACTGTTTCATATTACTGAAAAAAAGCCTTTTATAGGCTGTTTAGCAGCATGCTCCGTTGTGCCAACTCACCCGCACAGCATAAATGCATATCACAATCAGAAACGTTCTAAAAATGAAGCAATTCTATAAAAATTTGCTGAAGTAAAAAGTGTACAAACTAGTCATGAAACTGATTAGAACAAACTAGACTCTATCCCATCATTGCATTGATACCTAAATCATATCGACTGAGCCTGAGCTATAGAACTTTATAAGTACATTCATGTATCCACACCCACACACACAGAGAGAGAGAGAGAGAGAGAGAGAGAGAGAGAGTTCACAGTGCTGGACTATTACAGCAATCCCAGAGTCAGTTGAATTGATTTAATTGCATTTACGTGAATCAGAGCCAGTGAGTTGCATCAGAGAGGCTGAAGCCTGAGGCAATTGAAATGACTAATACATCATTCAAAGCTGTCATTAATATGAACTGTGCGTCACATATTTTCAGCAAATATTAATTGAATACTGAGATTATAAACGATTATTCAAACGAGTTTTTGTTTTATGTATTCCTATATTTTATACATGTAAACACAGATACATTAAATAATACATAGCCTATTACAAATAGATATTTCTGTCACAAAATTATATTACAAAATTCTATATATATTTTTTCAAACCATCACAATTCCACTTGCAAGAGCTTTACTGACCCTACTGAACAAATATACAGTTGTCTTAGAACTCGGATGGTTTGATAGTTGAGCAGTAGATGGAGACAGAGGCCCATTTCTCTTCTCCTGCATTACGTTGAATGTGTACAGTAGCCTACATCATGTACATCATGGCTTTTTTTAACATTGTTTTCAAACATTGTCATTACAGTTATTATAATTTATATAAATACATTGCGTATGCTACATAAATCTGCATATACAATATAAATTGGTGACAGATCACTGACTTTCCTCATTTTAAATCAACAACTTTCAGAAAATGGCTTGTTCTGACATTTTTGCTGCGCCCTCCTCTTCTCAAAATACATCACTTGGTGCCATCATTCTTGCGCTATATGACTCCCAGCTCACTCCAGTCTGCTGATCCTGCATGGACCTAAATCCTGTACAAATCTCAGGCTGGATAAATGAACATTTCCAGCTCAACCTAGCCAAAAAACTCATTACAGCATCACTGTTCATCACTGTTCATCTGAACTCATCAACAACACCACCCCCAGGTGAGTCAGGATCTTTGGAGGACTGTCTGATGAGCTGAACTTTACAGACTGCACAAGGCCAATCATGAAGACTGGTCGGCAACAGGAGGCCAAAACTGGCCCGCGCCCGCAGCCAAATTATTTAGCGACTGGTTCTGAAATAGATCTGCCATGACAGCAACAGTTACTCACAATCACTTCGTCTTTAGTGATTTTGCCTTCAAAAATCTGCGGTCGCTACTCTACTTTATTCATTTATCCAGTGTAAAACCCGAACACCACGACACAAGTGTGACTTTTAGTTAATGACTGTCCTCCTACAGGATTTAACACTACCAGTTACAAAAGACACTGTAACAGTCTGTCTCAGGCAATTCTAGTTGCATTTTTCATCAATTAATTCCTTAAATTATCCTTTGACTATATATATAGCATATTATGTTCTGGCCCGCCATCTAGGGGGACATTTTTTTTTGGCCCGATGCCAAACTTACTTGCCGACCCCTGCTCTACAACATTTATTTATTTTTTTGTTTGTTTAGATTTACTCATTGCATAGAACAGGATTCTATCAAATAAAAAATATTCAGGTTCTATTGATCAAGGGTGACAGTAAAGACTTTCACATTGTTACACTTTTTTATTTTCAATTTTAAAAAATGTGTAAAGGTTTTAGCAAAATTATTAAGCAACACTGTTTTCAACAGTGATATTAATAATATTTAAAAAAAGATTCTTGAGCACAAAATCATAAAATTCAGCTTTGTCATCACTGGAATAAATGTATTACATTTTTTAGAATATATTAATATACATATATTACAATAGAAGTTTTAAGTTGTAGGCTACAATATGTAAAGCGGTGAATCATTATTGGCATATTAATATCAGGATGTTTCAAAGTTGGAACATAACCTTAAATCAGTAGGCTACAATAGTTGTTGTAATAATATTATTACAATACTGATTATTACATAATATTATTATTAAAACCAAATGTTATGGTTTTATTTTTCATCAAATAAGTGCAGCCTTGGTAAACATAACAGACTTCTTTCAAAAATAATAATAATTCAGACCCCAAACTATTGAACGGTAGCGTATCATTAGGAGGTATATAAAAAGAAAACCTTCAGTACATACTATACCTAGAAATAATCTCCTCAGAATATTATTCACTTAGCAAATCTTTTTAATATGAATATTCTGCCTATTGAAAATGACCGTTTCCTAACAGAATTGACACAAAAACACAAGACGTCTCAAATAGCTTCATTTCATAGGCATTCTTTAATTCCACTTTTTTTCTTGTTCACTCCATACCACTATTCATGAAGTTCTGCCTGAACGATCAAAATACATAGCAATATACAGAGTGGAGAAAAAGACATGATATTTACACCGAAAACAAAACAAAACAAAGTATGCATTTGTGGAGTTTCCAATAAGAAAAAAAGGGACTGACTGACATTAACTTCATATGTGCTAGTACCTTCAAATATTCGTTTTTCCTCATACAAACTTTTATAAACATTATAAAATATTAGATAGGGCAATATCTGATTACTATAAAACATGTACCTAGTACAAAATAACATAGAATATAATAAAGCCTGTAAATATCTTTAAAATGTTTTAAAACAAAGCAGACAAAAACAGGACAACTACAGATATTTTTGAGGCCAATAAATAAAATCAAAGGAAAATAGAAAATATTAACAAAATAACAGTAATAAAATTTAATACATCATACAAATGGACTCAAATCCCAACTAGCACAGACAGGTATGAAGGGCCTTCATGTAATCAACTCCTCCCTGATAAGTACAACACGGGCCCCTAGCCTATATGTCATTTTCCACTTCACCACCACAGGACGACATTACACCATTCCCCTCTGCTGCGGCCATGCGTGTGTGCAATTATCACACAGTGAGCTGTACTTCTGAAAATATCACCAAACTGTAACACTGACAAACGAACACTGTCTTTCCATCAACAGTCAACATACGTCTACAGCGAAGCCTTGACAACAAGAAAAAAAGAGATGGGGGAGCTTATTAATGCTGCAGAATTATCACAAAAGAGTTTACACAAGAAAGGAATTGACATCTTTATTCACAGAAGCATCCAGTGCATTCGGCAGCCCTCAGCGGGTTTATCACGCACACATCAATGGTCACTCACAGAGGTTAAAGCAATGCATTACTCACATCTCATATGCATAAAAAACTGACAAACACAATATCAAAAAATAGTGACAACATAAATCGATACTTAAATTAATGCTTCAGGTACAATAAAAATACACAGTACTGGAACCCAGTACACATAATGCTGGTTTATAATCTTTTATTTTTTTTCCTTTTCCCCAACCTGTTCCAATTGAGTTTACCAACCAGCGGCAAACTCGTACAGTCAACTGAGAAGAACGACAGCATAGACTGGAATTGGTTTGTAGACAAGGGACATGTCATTTTTCCTTCTGCTCAAATCATGCTTTAAAGAGGGGGGGGGGGGTAGTACAAAAGTCTGCACAAAGAGATGAAAAAGACTGAAATATCCAGTATGAAAGACAGAAAGAGAATGGCCTTGTAAAAAGATGCTGCTCTTTCCAACATAAAAATGCACCGTTCAGCAAAACATGGATTGTCATCTCCCTTGAAAAACAGGGATACTTCTCACTTTTGGAGGGGGCAAAAGGGGGACACAGCTTGCTTGTCAGAAGGTTCACTTGATTTTGAGCTCCTCACAGGATTTATGTCCTGTTCAGCAACGAGGACCTACAGAAATAAAGAAGAAGAGTTGTTAAATGATTAGAACAGCCAAATACAATTATTCAAAATGATCTATCTTAAAAATGGAGAAGCAAAAATACAGAGCATTCGATGGTTTGTCACATTTTAAGGTCAAAAAAAAATAAATGTGGACACGTTGTGTAGTGTCTGCCCTGTGTGCTGATCCAAGTCCAGTGCCCTACACCTGATAAATCAAGTATAAACTGGTTTCAGACTAGCAATAAAAGACAACTTTGCCCTATAGATATTATTCTTCAGCTGGAATGTCTTTTCCTGGAAGCTCTCTGCCTTGTTTCCTGGAGGGCTACTATCCTGAGAGTCGAGTGGGGTGGAGCACGAACTGCTGATACAGACAGAATCTGGTGCTGTGACAGATCCTGTCGCAGTGGGGGAAAAAAAAGCAGCCCACCGTTTGCCTCCGCTAACTCGCTTTTCCTCCCCCCCTCTCTCTCTCTCTCTCTCTCTCTATCCATCCCTCCTGAGCTGTAAAGCTATCAGGAAACGTGACTAAGCAAGAGCCAAGAGGTCTCATCCTTTCCAAGCACATATGTGTGTGTATCTATCGCTGCGTGATCTTTGGCAAGCATTAATGGAAGATGTTTTGTCGGTTGTTCATTTATTTTTTATTTTTTTAAAGTGACAGAATACTGTAAAACATGAAGTCTACACAATATAATTATTTCAGTAATTTAGATTGTATGTATTGTTCTAGTGAGCAAACTATGTGCAAAAAATAATAGAAAATGATTTTTCAAATAATGTGCTTAAATCAAGGTTTGTAGTTATTGACTAATGAATTTGCACGATTAGCGATTGTTATTAGTGAATAATAATTTTTTCCAAATCATTTCAATTCTGATCGACTTTGTGAAGTGTCTCACTGAAAATAACATTTAAAAGAAGGATTCGCTTACAGATCATATATTACTATGGATTGTACAGTATGTGCAATAACCTTATACTTATTTATCACCCTAAACCCTAGTACATCCCTACAACTTATTTTATTTTATTCTATTCCTATTCCATCTATAGCACACCTGTACATACAATTTATTCTTTTTTTTGTGGTTTATATTTATGCATGTGTATTTTATTCACATCTTATTTTTATTATCTGTGTGTTGTTGTTGTCTCTGTGTACTGAAAGTTTGTGACACTATAACAAATTCCTTGTATGTGCAAACATACTTGGCAATAAAGCTCTTTCTGATTGTGAGCATATTGTACTCTAAAGTAGTACTATTTAACATCGAGAAGAACAGCATTACTAGAAGAAGGTACATCCATTATAGAATGATTGTTTTTATATTTTATTCATTATTAATGAGTATTTTTCAAGGCCTGGACAACACAATTTAAATTCCCTGATTTCTGCCTGACAGTGGGAACCTTTCTTTATTAAATCTGTTCATTAGCTATTCATTTGGCAAACAGACGATTTCTTTTAGCACGTCACTACTCTTCAGACAGGTCAGGAATAATCTCAGCATCTGAATGAATCATATCATACACACCTGAGAGATTTCCATCTGTCTTTCTCCATGTTGTTCTCTGGTCCTTCACTCTCATATGATGCCAGATACAAAGCTGTTGAGAGATGATTGAGATGAGACGAGTGTGTCAGCAACAAAAACAAAGCCACCTGTTTTCTTTCTTGAGGAATGTTCTGAACCTGTGTCACTTGGTTACTTAGCGTGACGGCACTTCACACCCGAGGCAATCATGACAAGTGCAATTGTCTTTGTGTCTGGGATCTTGTTTGCTCACTGCGCAACTATCATAGAACAGGTTTATGACGCGAGTGGCAGAAAATGAGTGTGCAGAAGAGCTCTAGCTCAGACAGGAAGTCCAAATTGACAGAAAAAAGCAAGACAGAATGCATAAATTATGTTTAATTAGCAAAACCACTGTCTGGCCTCAATGTTTGCATTTCAGAAGTTGAAATGAAGGGGCATATGATTGATGTTCGCCACTGCAAAAAAAATGTTCCTCAACTTGATTGCAATTAATCATAAACTAGCATTAAAAAACATCTGTACCATCTTCACTGAAGACCGGTGCGGTCAGGAGATACTGCAGAATCTTGCGGTCTCTGTCAAAAGGACACTCCACCTTCTTCCATGTCATGAACTCCATCACTTGTTTGGCCAGCTCCCAGAATTTCTGCAGCACAGTCAAGATTCATTCTGTTAGAAATCATTGCCACTGAATTGATGCCCTTGAAACTTAATTTCAACAGATGCATACGTCAATGGACTAAATCTGGATGCTTCCGTTGCTACGTGACAGTGTTTTCTCAACCATCCTTTGTTATTCAGTAGCTGTGACGGCAGTTGTTGCCATGCATCATGTTAGCTCGCATGTATCGCGCCAAGCCAAAGGGCAGGAATTACCTCCAAATTGACATGTCCGTTCGGGAGCCTGTTGGCACATCCTTCATTGAGGAAGTAGATGTCTTTAATCAAGAGGCTGAAGAAAGGAATAACAATCTGAAAGGCAAAAAGGGAACACAAGATTACATAACAGCTATAACTGACCAAAAACTAAGAGAAAAAAAACATGCAACCAAATGGAGCAGCCTCACTGGAGTCCATCTAAGGGTTATCGTCACAGTAAGATTGCACTAGGCAACCGTTTTTACAACAGCTTCTAGAAGCCTACAGGGCACAGCACAACTGGATCTGCCACTTTGGAGGGCAATAGCAATGATTCATGACACAAGGAAGCAGTGATGTGTACGTGACGCCAAAATCTAAACTCCGCTGTAGCAAATTCAGGTATAACATGATAAACAAAGGTGTCTTTAAATATAGGGGTCAATCTCCTGTATTCAAAAATAAATAAATAATTTGCTATTAACATGATTCTAAAAACTAGAAAATGTAAATATATACAATACGTTTATTTAATTTATTTAATTTATTTTACAATATGAATCAATTAAATCATTCCATGCCATCAACATCCTGAAAATCTTTTCTTTTCTTTTTTACATTTATTTATTTTTGTTTTACATTATAAGTCGTTTTAAGCTTAAGCATCACTCCAAAACTGAGAAATAAATAAATAGACAAATAAATAAGCCAAAATAAAACTACTGCCATAATTAGAGTGCAGACCCATGTGAATAGTTAACCTCAAGTTCAAATCAAGCTTAAAATAAGCACAATATCCATCGGTGAACAAAACAAAGGGTCAAAAATACGAGCAGTCAAACCAGTTGATGAGTTAAAGACATTAAGAGAGCAGTAATGCATTCCTGATTTAATTAGTTTGCAGTGGAAATTCCTGTCCTGGAACATGCACTTATTCTGTCTCTTATATCTTTAAAGTAACAATGCTTGCCATAGCCTAAACACATCTGATTTTAGAGAAAAACAAGTGACATGGGCCCCTGTGACCCCCCCCCCCCCACGGAAGAGCCAAGCATTCCAGTACTGCTCTGGAACATTCTGTCTCACCACCCAAACCCACACAGCGAAGATCTCCTCCCTAACCAGTCGAAGACGCAAAACAATCCTTACCAAGCTTGACAAAAACAAACAACATATCTAATATATATATATATATATATATATATATATATATATGAGAACACTCAAAATAGTTGTGCATTTTAACGAAGAGATTAACAGTTTTGAGCTTCCTTTTGGCACACTCAGATGCCGGATGGATTTTATTGAGTTTGCTCACAGAAAACACTGAAGAGCATCAGAACATTTTGTTAACTGGCTGAATGCCATGTTTTTATAACTAGAATGGAGCATATTTAGCAGAGGAAACAGAATGTCCCATTTGATGCCTTGCCCTCAGCAAATCATCCTCAAATGGCCCACTGTCCTCTACCCTTGTTATTACATAACTCTCGGCCAAAGAGGCCAGACGCTACCTCAATTTAGTGTAAATACAAAGCTTCTGGACTGGGATCTGCACTTTTAAGCCAATCACTGGCATCTTTTATGTAATGAATCAGATTTTATCATTGTCCTCGCTGCGTTTGTTGCAAATATCGATACAACATATCACACACTTCAAACAACCTTTTTATAAGTACATAATGCCCGAACCCAAACACTGTTATGAAACCAACGTTTCTATGATTTCTATGAGAAAATTCTGCACATTACCTTCTCTCTGCTGCTATGAGCAGTGATAGATCTCTGAGTGGCTCCACGCAGCGCTGTTCTGTAGTTGTAGAAATTGCTAGAGGGATCCATCTGGTGCTGCGAATAAAGATAAAAACAGGTTTAGGCACCAACCTCAGGACTTGGCCTGAAAAATGTAATGTAGTTTCTACAAACAAAAGTTTCTAATGAGCTCTAAGCCCATTAAACATGGTTAGGTCTCCAAAGCCAACATGAGTCACTCTAGTTACTATTCATTATGAGACATTCTTTAATGGGAACCAAGTAAGATGATCCATGTCATGCACTTTCAATCTTCAGTCAAATTTTTGCCAGCAGGTGAGACAACCACAAAGGTTCAGTTCACTTTAGGGCTGCACGATTATGACAAAAATCATAATTGTCGATTATTCCCTTGAAATTGTAATTGCGATTATTAATTACAATTATCACAATTTACATTGAATGATGTTTATACCATTGTTTGATGCAACTGCATGCCGTATTTTTATATGAAAATAAACAAGCTGAAAAACCTTTAATGCTCTTCTATAGTATTAACACTCAAATGTCAAATATACATCGGATTGGTTTCTTCTTTAAATTATAAAAAAAGTAAAAATATGAATGGTATTATAATGTTATACTAAAACTAAAACAATGGAAAAACCCTTAAGATAACATGTAGAAAGAAAAAAAACATATCTTAAGCGTGCAGAATAACATAAGTGGACTTGAACGATTAATTGCCGCTTTGAACGATTACGTAATTGTGGCATCCATAATTGTAATTGCGATTAGAAATTCGATTAATTGTGCAGCCTTAGTTCACTTAAACCAGTTTAAAGAAGCAGGTTTCATAGATACACAATGGTTTAAACATTTGGGGTCACTAAGATTTTTTTAATGTTTTTAAAAGAAGTCTCTTATGCACCAAGGCTGCATTTATTTGATCAAAAATAGCATTATAGCCCTTTTGAACAGTACTCCAAGGCTACATATAGTTTATCAAGGCCATTTTAAGTGAACAAGTAATAACCTTTATTAGGGACTAGTGGTGAATATCTGCAGCTTTTACATTAAAGATTTCGAATCTACAGAGACGCCATGACTAAGCCTTTTATCATACAATCCTCCATTGTCTTAAGAGTAAAACTAGAGGAAGACAGAGTGAGAGAAAAGAAAAAGTGTTGTGTGTTGAGATACAAAGGCTGAACCTCCCTGAAGACTAGACATACAGTCCCTATTTACACATCAAAATGCTGAAAGCCACAAGGCGAGACCGAACAATGTGTAGGTGTGTGTTTTGCGTGCATAAGTCATATATCAAGTTCAAGGCCTTTGCCTGTCTAAAGACAAAGCAAGACCTAAACAAAACCCTCTTTAGACAGTAAACACAGTGTGCAGATTCAAAATTAAAGCCTTAAAGGTCTCAACCCCTCTCAAATTTGGCCTAAACTTGTAAACATTTGCACACCCCCGCAGAAAAATAATGACACAAAAGCAACAATTCTCGCCCACTTGGGACTAAAATTGGCAGAATATGGTGTCCATATTGTCAGGGGTTTGAGCATTGTGCATGCATGAGTCACGGGGATAAGAGCCAGGGTCGGACACTTAATATGTTTAGTGCCATGTCAGCACTACATGTTCAGTGATTAAATACATACCTCTAGTATATCAAATTTGGCGGTTTTGACTTTGCCCCAGGTCTTCTTGAGTCGTGACACTGGACTCATGTTCATCCCAGCTGAAAGACACATAGAAAGAGACACAGGTCAGCACACTGTTTCCTGTCAGAAGTGCAGTTTCTCTATGGCAAATAGAGCAGTGTAAGCCCATGAGCCCACGTGAACAATGACATTAGCAGGAGCATCATTTCCCTCCGACAATAGGTGAGGCTTATAGAACCGAGGGTCACAGTGGGCTTCTGCAGTCAGCACTAATGACCAGATGAGGTCAGAGTGTTGACTGGAAATCACTAGAGGTGGGTCAACCAATCAGATTTCTCTGTACTGACAACAGCATCATTTCTTACTAGGTCTTGATTAGATGTCAAGTTACTAGTTTCTGAAGCTTTCAATCAAAATTCACCTCAACTACTTTCCTAAAACATTCTTTTTATAGTTTTGACATTGTTTAGGCACTCCGTTTGGCTCTATTTTGGTATATATAAAACACACTTTTCAGGATATAAACAATTTTAGAAGGATAAAATCAAGTTGATGTTTTTGTTAACACAAATACAAAAAGTTTGTGGTCGGTAAGCTTTTGTAGGTCTCTAAAGCTCAGCGAGGCTGGATTTAAGTATTTATAAAATAATGGTTTTGTATTTTAATATATTTAAAAATGTATTATTAATATTTTTGTGCTTAAAAAACATTTCTTATTATTATCAATGTAGTTGAAAACAGTTCTGCTGCTAAATATTTTTGTGGAAACCATTTAATTTTTTTTTCTTCAGGATTCTTTGATGAATATGGCTTTGGCTTGAACCCAAATATTTTAATGGTAATATGTGTTAAAAAGTAAAACGGCTTCAGGGAGACAAAGGAATTAACTGATGGATAAAGGAAACATTGATATTTGTAGTTCATATATGCACACTTAACTGAATATGTTGTGATCTGTATCTAAAATTCAGTCATTTCAGATGTTTTCTTCCCCAGTTTTAAGCCTGAACAATAGCAGCAACACTATCTATTCATCTACAAGAGAGCCATCTGAGGCTTTAGTACATTAACAATCTGTCTATACTAACAGGTGTCAGGCCCAGAGCTCCTCCGGCATACTAACATGAAACTAGAGCGAATTATCTTTCAGGTCTAGCCACGTGCTGCTGACGCTCCATTCACGTCACATAATGTACGCTGCCTCCAAAACACACAAGCAGGAGCGATCAACCTTTCCCATGACTTGTTTGTTCTCTTTCAGTGACTTTAATATCAGCGCTCCATCTCCAGGGAGAGAGGCTTGTGTAAGAGCCCCGGCCCGTGGGCTCGTCTCCAGGGAATGGCCAGGGAAAGGACAGCTGGTTCCACTCCCTCCCTCTCACAATCCCCGTCTCAATGAGTCTGTCCCTCGCTCAGTCTATTGGATTGGTCAGCACTGACCATCTACCTGAGGGATGTCGCTCCCTCGATCCAGCTCTCGCTCACACAGGCTGAACAGCTGCTTCTTCTCCTGGTCTCTCCACTCCTGTTCCCCTACCCATAATGCCTCAGGCACAGGCCTAGTTGGGTGCTTGGAGAACTGAGTGAATGATTAATGTAGCTAATCATTATTTTATTATATTATTGAAGGTAAAATGTACTATATATGTTATCAGAAGTCTAACATAAACACAAAATTGTTTATTATTATAGATTACTGAAAAACGGATGACACCGATTAGTTCAAATTTGATCAACTAAAGGCTAAAATGAATTATCTAAACCTTGACGCATAGCTAAATAAGACTCTCCAAAGCACTCAGCAAATAAAATAATATGAGTCTGTAAGAGGTTTGACATTGTTGTGCATGTTAAGCGTACAAGAGCAGGCATTAGAAAAGCAAACCAAATCCTGCCAAAAAAGCAAACTGTATTATCCAAACTGATTTTGTGGGGAACAAAAGAGCTTTCTGTAGCAAAGTCTTGCAAGGGACGGCAAAACACTCACTAATGATGGCCATGAGCGAGTTGAAGTTGCCAATGTTGAAGCATTCTCGTGCCACGTCGATGAAGAACTCAATGACTCGAGCCCGATGTTTCTTCTTTACAGGCTGCATGAGAATATCAAGCAAATAATTTATGAACACCAAAAAGTGATATTTATAACAATGCTCATTAAATACTTAATACTTCAGGAACATTCATGATATAAAATCTAACGTTACCTACACTACCATTCAAAAGTTTGGGGTCAGTAAGATTTTTAAAAATGTTTTGAAAGTCTCATGATCACAAAGACTGCATTTATTGGGTAAAAAAAAAAAAAGAATAAATAGAGAAAATTGTCAAATATTTTCACCAATTTGATGAACAGAAAGAACAGCATGAGCTCAGGAACCTACTGACTTTTTTGAAAGGTGGTGTATATTTTTATAAGGCTTATATTTAAAATCACATTAGAATCACTAACAGTATCATTAGCAATAGTAAAATCATTAGCAATAAAAGCAGATGATTACCATGCAGATCTCCGTCGCCACCAGGTAGCTGAGTCTGTTGAACCACTCCACATAAGCCTCCAGGTTACTTGCTTTTTTGTGATCACTAAAGCATCTCTGCAAGAATCACAATTTCAAAAGGGTCAGTATCATCATTCAATTACAATGAGGCTTGAGTTTGGTCAAGAGCTTCATTTAGGACATTGTGCCACAACGTTTTCCAGTTTAGTTTTCAAATTGTCTTTATTATGGAATGCGCATTTTATCTGTACCATACTGGTCATCTGCCAATGTCTGCATTTTTTATTTATCGGTATAGGTCAATTTTATTTTATTTTTATTATCATCAAACTAGCATAGATTCCAAATATCAGCTATTTTAACTTGTCTCTATAAGCCAGAATTTTAGCATTGGTGCATCTATTTTTCACCCTAAATTCTGAGCTCTAAAACGTTTGGCAGGAATGTAAACAGTTCATCATCGGTAGAATATAGCTCTTTAACTGATCTCACAGAACTTTGCATGCTGGGATCTGTGATTCCTACAGTCCCAGCCCAAGAACAAAGGTCTCCGAGATGACTGATGATCTCCAACAAAGCACATTCAATCAGAGAGCTTGTTTGCCCTGAAGAGCCTCCACGCTCACTGGGCCTTGTGCTATTATCCGTTTAGGGAATGTATACAGACACTTTGTCTGAAAGCTCGGGCCACTCTAACCCTTCATTCCTCAAATTCCTATGGTCCGACTGTGCCGTCCGTCACACAATACCCAATCCACCCTACTCTACTTTTGAAGGACAACATCAGAGAGCCACGGCGGTGCACAAGGACCCTCTGGAGAGACGGCGACCAGGACAAAAGAGAAAAATTGCACTAGTACCGCCTTGACACGGGCTGTTGCCTAGCAGCCCAACGGCAATGGGCATTACGAGGCAGGGCTGAGTAAACTTTTGGCAGGTTATTGTGAGAAACCAGTTGCTAGGCTTTGGCCACAAAAGGACGCTGTGTGGAACGTGAGGAGGGAAACTTGGACGGTGATAGATTAGACGAGGAATGTGCTGTGAATGCTGTGTGAAATAGGTGACACCGCATTGAACCCGAGGGTTAACGTAAACACCATGCGTATTGATTTGTTGGAGTCAGATATTTGTTGTAGTAAGCGCAAGACATGACATTTGCATTGTATATATTTTAAGTTGACCTTGCTGGCCATAAACAGGAAGGGACTATTACCTTGTCGTTATCAAGAGGGTCTTTCTGAACAAATGCCTGAATGAACTCCTCTGGTCCGATGTAGCTCAGTCTTTCCTGAAAAATGAAGATGATGTCAACTTAACCTTTGCAGTAAGTCCAAACGGTCACCTTGAAAATAACTGCACAGATTATTGATTTAATAAATAAAGCAATCCAAACCCACAGTGAGGTGAGGAATGTAAGGTCATGTAAACCGAGGAAGTTCCACTCACCAGTTCAATGTGTGTGAGTTGCTGTGCCAGGGTGAAGGGGTCGCTGCAGATGGTCAGAATGTCTCTCTGGATGGACTGAGGTTTGGTCTTCAGCACAGTTAATCTGTCAGTCACAGAGGAGTTAATCTTGGCCAAAGCCTCCTCGTACTGACTCAGTGTGGTGAGCTTACGGATCAGCGTTTGTGTCATCTGTTGCACCGCCTTGCGATAGAGCTGAAGAGAGACGGGGAGACAGAAGACGTGGATTTGCAACCATGCTTTTATTGACCAGAATGACAAGGTAATCATTCATTTGAAAGACTAACAACAAAATGTGTCCCACACTGATAAGAAAGCTGAGGGAATGCACAACGTATTTGCCCTGCAAACATCTAATGGACTTCCGGGCGTATAATGGCGCCCTTTCCTCTTGATCGGTCAGCTATGACGGCGGTGCTGCTCACGGGGTCTAACGTTCCAACATAGGGTCTTGAGTATGTTACATAAACGATTAACGCAGGATTACGAAACAGCAGCACTTCATTCATGTCCTTCAAAGGTTCACAAGAATCCTGAATGCCACCCACTTCCCCTCGTAACACAAGATGGGGTTGTGTTATCTAATAACAAGTGCCTGACACAGTTCTGGACTTCTGTTGTGTAAGGAGAGGACAGCAGCGGTCAAGCCCTGTTGCTCAACATCAATCGGACAAGAATCTACATCCTGTGCCTGCTTGACAACCAATGGACATCAAGAAGACTACCCCACACCATGAATTTAAAACAGACTACTTAAAGGAAGCCTTACCTAAACTGGTTACTTAAAGTAAGATAAAATAAACGCATTTGATAAAAATGTACTTTTTTACAGGGCTACAGCGAGGAACAATCACCTGAAAGCCAATCAGAATCCACTCAACTGAACAGTTTAAGCATTTAAAGCGTCAGACAACAAAACTGCAGCTCTTATATTGAACAAAATTTTATTGTCCATTTGTGTGTACTCTAATATAGTTATCAATATAGCTATCGTTCGTGGTGCAAACGCGCTTTAAGGCTTTTGTTTAACCATGAAGATATAAAAAGTTGGCCGTTCAAACATTATGCTGATTGGTTGTGGGATCTTTCATTTCTGTCAGGCTTCTGTACTCCTTTCTGACTCGTAGAAAATAAAAAGTGCCCCATTAATCTGTTGTGCAGGAGGTCGGTGGCACATAAATCCATCTGGCTCAGAACAACCTGAACATAGTGTAGATGCAAGAGTATTGATGATTTGACAAGAGAGCGAGTACAGGAGGAGACAAGCCCTTGCAGCACTTTAAAAGATCACAGAGAGTCTTAATATTCCCTCTTCAAGGTCCACCATATGCTGACACATTATTTTTAGCAGGAGTTCTTGGCGATGACTGCTTGACATTTTGAGCAGCAGATCAGACAACTCACTTGTTGTGGGAAAAATAGAAAAGAAAGCTGCTTGCCACCACGTTTTTAAACCTGGCATGAGTGTGCGACAGCCGTCCAACATGGCACAACCTCACAGTACAGATTACTCTAGCATAGACACACCACACCCAGGTCAAGGGTGAATGCTCTCCATTACTTTCCCAATAAACAGGATTTGTGCAAAAGGTGTCCAAATGTGCACCAAATGGCTGTGTCTGCAAATGCACAACTGGGCCCTGCCTTTCCTATACAGAAGACCACATGCGTAATGACAATCTTTGCTGACCAGAAGCCTGAGGACCAAACTGTGGTTTGGAGACAGATGTTACGGCATCTATTCTCAGCTCCTGCACTGAAAGCAAGAGATCCGCGACTCAACTGCCAGTAAAAAGACAGAACAGCAGGTCAACAAACTGCTGGCAAACTCGTCAGGACCACTGAGGTCTAGGAGAGGTCAAAAAATAAAAGGCCTAACTGGAAACCACTTCATAGCGGTCTTGTTATAATGGGCTGCAAGCACTGGACAGTGAATTTGACTCAGATGGGCTTATGTCTAGCTATAAATACACCCATTGTCTATTGTGTGGCTCTGACTGCTGTGAATACCACGTCAATGTAGAGTCAAGTGCTACACTGTAACAGACACTCTCATTAACAAAATTCACGTACGAGTACATGCCGTTCAGATGGCGGGAGAAAAACAGCGCCTGAATTACATAAGTCAACTTATTGATGGAATGAACCATGAATGAATTCTTCACACTATGAGACACTCTTTTCATGCATAGATACACATCTACCAGACAGTCATAACTCAAAACACAGATTACATTTGTCTCGCCTACCTAGCAAATGTAAAGATCATAAAGATACCTTGAATAAAGAAAACATGAAGTGGTCACTCCGTTAAAAAAGAAAATTTTATCCCCATCAGTATGTAAAAATGGTACACAATAAGGGAAAAAACTTAATAAATAAATAAAAATGCAATAAATTGAATAATGCTAAAAATGTTAGTGTAGAAATCTTAAGTATTTTTTCAACAACAACAAAAAAATAAATATTAAAAGGCAAAAAAAGACATTTTAGAGGTTTAGGTTTTGGGTCACACATGACATTTTACCACCTTAAATAATCATTAAAAGGTCAAATTATCTGTTATTTGAAAAGACGTATTGCCCTTCTTGAAACATAGTGCATTTTATGTATTACATTCAGACAATTGTCTTATTTTGATATTGACTTTATACCAAAAAACATTTTAATTCAGAAATTAAAAACTTGCTCATCATATAAGAGGTGTATTCAGGTATGAACTGCATTTGAATTCTTTTTCAAATAAATACACAGGTCAACTATGTCACAGACCCTAACACAGTTATAGTTCTCCATGTTTTTTTTTTTTAGTGTACATGCAGTCTTATTAGCTTATCATCCCTTTCACTAGATTGAGGAGGCGGTGCAACACGCACACATTTCCTCTATGAGCTGAGCGGGGCCGCAGAAGGTCATCGATCTCCTGGGTCAGGATAAAGCAGATCAATTGTCACACATGTGTTTACTGCACAAGCCACCAGAGGATGAGTCCTGCTTGTCTTTTCGAGTTAGTGAAACCCCATTCATTTGAATCTGATGGAGCGATGTCCATCTTAAACTGTCTATTCTAACTAGTGCCCTGCTGTTAGTCATTACACTAATGCTCGCCAACCATGTGAGATGACCAGAGCGAGCTTCTGCAAATCTCTTTTTATTTCACTGTACATTAACTAAATCAAGAGTTCACAACAGGAGGACTATTCAGATGCGGACGATAGAGAAAAAAAGGGACGTTTGAGGACAACACTTGATGAGAGCTCCCAACTTTATCCAGATTCAAAATGAAGTGACAGGCATCAAAAGGATGTGAGCACAATGGAAGGACGATAACTAGATGTAAAATAAAATTGAATCCTTTAACACAACCACTGCTGGTTTTTGTGCCCAGGAAGTTTTAAAAGAACCTAGAATAAATGTGGTGAAAAAGTCCCTTTGATAAAAAAAATGCTAAGCCAGTAACATGGCAACAAACGAGTCAGTGCTAAGAGAACTATTTAAATGCAGCCTGTGGAAAAGCACCAGTGAAGACAAAAGCAGCTGAACAAAAGAGCTCTCTTCTCACTCCTCTTGTCAGAGCGCTTTGGACTAAAGAAATCTCACCCCCCATTGCTCAGGTGTTGACACTCTTCTCACCCAACGTGTTACATCCTACGTCTTAACCAGCTGAATGTTAAAAAAAGCCATGCTAAGACATATAAAGGTGTTTTACACGGTCTATGCTAATAGTGGTACTAAAGGCATAAAGAAAAGCTAATGTCTTTGACGCAAGTGTTCGCACCTATCAGGTGACTATTATTTCAAAACGGCGTTGCGTTTAGCAGACATTTCCTCAAGAATGAAAAACTCATTGTTTCCGCTGAAATTATCTTCCAGCACTTGGAAATGGCAGACTTACTTCATCTCCAGTACTCAGACGATGCGTTAGTTCCTTTAGGCTCTTCATCATCCTCTCATCCCTGAAGTCATAAGGAAATGTCTCCGTCCACTCAGTCAGCAACTGCAGAATCTTGGGAGCAATTTTCCTGACTCTTGCCTACAGATTAAGTAAAAAAACAACAACACTGTAATTGCAAATTATTGTCCTTGGTTCTCAAAATAGAGCAACCATGAAGACTGAAGCCACTTTGTATGACAATCAGTATAAAGACACCCTTGTACCTTATCAGCCTGAGGATCAGTGAGTCTCTGCTGGTCCACACACAAATGGCACACTTTGGACATTAGCTCATACGGGTGAATAAAGAGACGGGAACTGAGCAGGAATGTGAAGATGTATGTCCTCTGTGAGTCAATAAAAATTAGATTATGTTGGTTATAATGTTGGTGCAACAATACAAACCATTAATATCCGTTTTACATTATTCTAAACAAAACTAACATTGGACAAAGCTACATAAAATGTATTTATATTTCTTGAAAATAAATCTGGTTAGCTAGACTACACCTCAAAAGGACAACTCTTATTTTAAATAAAGTTCTTTGAAATGATACAAAGGATTTATGTCTCTTTAGATCAATTTAATGAATCCTTGCTGATTAAAAAGTAATTTCTTTTAAACCCAAATTTTTGAGCAGAAGTGCATATTGCTAAATTATAAATTGAGACCAATTGCAAGTCACGTTTGTGGTCTCGGTGTTTAAAAAATAAATAAATGTGAGATATGTTTTCAATACTCAAAATCCAATACTGTGAATTGGCTTAATAGCTACTTTTGACACTCTATATACTCACATCAGGATAGTAAGCCACCGTAGGGACCAAGTGCTCAATTAGAGCCTCCAAGGACCCTGACACCAGGTTGTTTTCATGGTAATACAGGCCTTCATAGTCTTCTTCCTTGGCCTTATAGAGATTCTTGTTGTAGACATTGGACCCATACATCGCTGGAAAGGGTGACGTTTGAGGCATTTTGTCCTGTTGAAGGATATAAAGAAACATCAGTCTGAGGAGCCTAACCTAAGCACAAACACAATCAAAAACAGACATTGATGCATGAACTAGTTTAATTCGTTAATGCTGAGCCTCCATCCTCAACTGAAAATTTTGTTTACCTTTGTGTAAAACACAAGGTCCCCAGTATCATTATAGGAAGCTGAGTGGAAAATTACTCTTCCTCGGATGGACGACTCGTGGGGATGAATATGTCGCGATTAATCTCAATGTGCAAACACCTTCCCTGATTGTGCCTGTGAGAACTTGAGTTTAATCTCCATTCGCTTCGTATTTTAGACTCACTAGCTGGCTCTAATCCACCATAATAGCAGCTGAACATACCGCCGGCGGGTTTCACTCACAAACACCAACAAATTAATCTTCACGGTGCTTTTACCTCACGTGGATGTACAACACAGAGGTTCTTTCAACTACGGGTTGACACAAAAAACATGATGACCTATGAGATCTAGTGCTTCTGAAAAGAAGGATTCTTAATTTCCCCCTCAAAAACAAAACGAGGCCCATTACAGATGAGAGTCCTATGAGTCGGTCAGCATTAGCTAGAGGTGATAAGCAGCCAAAAGCAGTTCTTCACCCACACAAAGAGCTCTGGCTCACATTGCCTGCCTCCCTTCCTCCTACTTCTGTATCTTCCAGGCTCTCGTGGAACGGCAGAAAGTGAGTTTTGCACATGTCAATGCATCACATAATCACGCGGGCGGCTCCAGTATGCCAGCACGAGCTTCTGTGCCATTTCAGAGCTCAGCCCGTGACTTTAAGTGAGATTCCTGGACACAGCGCATATGGGCCCCTCAATAGAGGCATTCACAGCTACGGCACGGGGCGTCAAGGGACACCCCGAACAATGTGCAGCCCCAATGGCCGCCTGCCTATTCAGGCCCGCAGGCGTTTGGGTGCCAGATTCGGACGGGAGTGCCCAGGAGGGAGGGGGTGTCGTACGATGATGTATGTTCTCAGTCCGCGGCCCCCCACAGAGACCTCTTCATAAAACCATAGACATTAGCATCAAAATGGAGGCCCAAGAGGTCAAAGCAGCAAACGCCCCCCTACGCATCTGCTTTACCATGTGTTATACCATCTGAGCACGTCAATGAGATAAAAAGCAAGGAAGGCCAAATTATGTCAAGAATTGACTTTGCGCTCATCACCAGAAATTGACAATTTGTCAAGTCCTTTATGAATGATGCCTCTGGAAACCGCGTACGGTTTTATTCTCTGACTCATATTCTGTAACAGAATTTGCCAGAACTTTCATAAAAATAAACCCTTTTTTGTTTTTGACAAAGCTGCATTGAATAAACTCTACTTTTGTCTCATTATATGCCCCAAAAGCAGGACACCCCTGCGCATCGGCCCATGCAACCCTATTAGTGAAGCCCCCAGGCCACAATGCAAATCTGCTAAAAGTCAAAGCCCTTTTAAACTCTCTAGGCGCACCAGCTGCTGCTCGACTGAATTCTGTGAGCGAATAAAACAAAGCTGAAGCTGATTAGTAGCAGGGATTCTGGATGTGTTTACTTTTTGGTTGCAGGTGTCAAGTATGGCCAGCCACATGTCCTCTCCTCTGTCCTGCTTAAACAAACACGAAGCACAGCCTTCACCACAGGGGCTGTGTAGTATATAAGCAAACAAAAAAGCCCTTGCTTTCACACAATTACTGAAATGTTTTTTGTCAGAGCTTTTATTTGGCATCCTTGCATGGCTGCATTTTAGATAGTTATGACTGTCTGAAAGCTGAAATCATTCAGTCCCACCCACATGTTGACTGTATTGTTGATAACTGAGTCTCTAGATCAAAACGGGCCTCCTCAAGCATAAAGCAACATTTAAATAATCACTCTGATCTTTGGGGTTACCACACCTTTTGACTAATACATTTCCATGGTTTTACACTCATTTATCCCTACTGGATAAGGATTTTTAAAATTCACTGTATATTGAAATTGCACTCACAAGTCGATAAAATAAATAAAAAATAAATGATTCTACAAATACTGCATACATAGCAATGGAAATGTCTTGTAAATGTCATTATCCTAAGTAAACTGAAAATACATTGAAATAGAATTTTTATTTATAATTTAAATCGAGTTCGAAGTTATGTTTCAATTTATAGAATACTTATTAAATAAACAGAAAAATTTCAATTTAATAATACATTTTAATTTTCCATGATATTTCGATGACTTCCTGAGACCAGTTTTCATGGAAATCACAATTTTAACGATAGAGGCATTCACAGCTACGGCACGGGGCGTCAAGGGACACCCCGAACAATGTGCAGCCCCAATGGCCGCCTGCCTATTCAGGCCCGCAGGCGTTTGGGTGCCAGATTCGGACGGGAGTGCACAGGAGGGAGGGGGTGTTGTACGATGATGTATGTTCTCAGTCCGCGGCCCCCCACAGAGACCTCTTCATAAAACCATAGACATTAGCATCAAAATGGGGCCCAAGAGGTCAAAGCAGCAAACGCCCCCCTACGCATCTGCTTTACCATGTGTTATACCATCTGAGCATGTCAATGAGATAAAAAGCAAGGAAGGCCAAATTATGTCAAGAATTGACTTTGCGCTCATCACCAGAAATTGACAATTTGTCAAGTCCTTTATGAATGATGCCTCTGGGAACCGCGTACGGTTTTATTCTCTGACTCATATTCTGTAACAGAATTTGCCAGAACTTTCATAAAAATAAACCCTTTTTTGTTTTTGACAAAGCAGCATTGAATAAACTCTACTTTTGTCTCATTATATGCCCCAAAAGCAGGACACCCCTGCACATCGGCCCATGCAACCCTATTAGTGAAGCCCCCAGGCCACAATGCAAATCTGCTAAAAGTCAAAGCCCTTTTAAACTCTCTAGGCGCACCAGCTGCTGCTCGACTGAATTCTGTGAGCGAATAAAACAAATCTGAAGCTGATTAGTAGCAGGGATTCTGGATGTGTTTACTTTTTGGTTGCAGGTGTCAAGTATGGCCAGCCACATGTCCTCTCCTCTGTCCTGCTTAAACAAACACGAAGCACAGCCTTCACCACAGGGGCTGTGTAGTATATAAGCAAACAAAAAAGCCCTTGCTTTCACACAATTACTGAAATGTTTTTTGTCAGAGCTTTTATTTGGCATCCTTGCATGGCTGCATTTTAGATAGTTATGACTGTCTGAAAGCTGAAATCATTCAGTCCCACCCACATGTTGACTGTATTGTTGATAACTGAGTCTCTAGATCAAAACGGGCCTCCTCAAGCATAAAGCAACATTTAAATAATCACTCTGATCTTTGGGGTTACCACACCTTTTGACTAATACATTTCCATGGTTTTACACTCATTTATCCCTACTGGATAAGGATTTTTAAAATTCACTGTATATTGAAATTGCACTCACAAGTCGATAAAATAAATAAAAAATAAATGATTCTACAAATACTGCATACATAGCAATGGAAATGTCTTGTAAATGTCAATATCCTAAGTAAACTGAAAATACATTGAAATAGAATTTTTATATATAATTTAAATCGAGTTCGAAGTTATGTTTCAATTTATAGAATAAATAAACAGAAAAATTTCAATTTAATAATACATTTTAATTTTCCATGATATTTCGATGACTTCCTGAGACCAGTTTTCATGGAAATCACAATTTTAACATTCCTTGATATTTACAGGTTTTCCATGGTTGTGGGAACCCTGTCTAATGCAAATGTGGAGGTTAAAACAACAAACCCAAACGTCCTGGAGTGTTTTGAAACGGCATCCTCAACAAAAGGGTGTGTTGAGCTCATTGGCATATTATTAGGAGCTGTTAAGTTGTTGTGGCAGTCTTGTCTTTAAAGGTCGCTTCATAGTGAATATAAAAACAGCCAAAGATCAAGACTTTAACAAATACGAAGGATTGATCACTGCTGTGATGACAGAAAGACATGATTCCCACCCACATTTCTACAAACAAATGTCTGGTGCGTGGACCACAACACAGTTCTATGTAAATTGACAAATTACTATAATGTTACGAATATGATGAAATGAGGAAATAAACATGTCTGTTCATAGCGCTGTAATAGACACCAGTATTACACAAAATTGTCGGCTTTCAATAAATTCAACAAGGATCAAATTGAGTCTTGGTCTTTTGGTTTCTGTCAAAGTGGGTTACATGTTAGCCTTGGGAAACGAGCAGGTGTGTGTCCGTGTGTGTGTAAGACGTTGGGGGAAGGGAGCGATTGCTTCAGTGAAACTGCTCGAGTGTGTCTGAGTAAATAAAGGGCTTGGCTGGCGGTACAGATTGGCAGGGCATAGTGTCCTTCCCACAGCACTTTGAGCTACCTGCATGACTGGTATCACAGAGGCATAGTCCAGCCAAATCACAGCAAACTGATGCAGATCAGCTTTTCAAAACAGAATCAAAATGTCTCAGACACTCTTCTTTCCACAATCTTGACCAAACACAAACCCTCATTTTGATTAAAAAAGTATAATATAAGACTGTTGATAAACAACACCGATTAATCAAGTAGATAAGACAATCTGCTTAAGCCCCAAAATAGCTTACTTATTTGATAGTGGGGAGAAACACATGGGTAATGATCATCTGAAATCAACCAGGGAATATCAACAACAACCCTCCAGTTTCCACACCCACCCAACACAAGACCACTACTGCACTAATACATGAGAAATGAAAAATGATTTCCCCAGTGAATACCCTCAGCAAACACTCAAAACTCCATAAACCTGGCATCTTCATTCTGCAGTGCAAACCATCAGTTTAGTACACAGCATGCACACTATTTTTAAGCTAATTTACTGTAATTTTATATCATCCTAAACTATAAAATGCCTTCCGTAGACATTTCAATGAAACTTTAAGATCTCAATGGGTTATCCAGACTTGGAATTACGGTTCTAAAATTCCCTCTTATATCCAGTTTTCTCCTGCAGTGGGAACCTTGTCTGAAT